AAAGCGTCAGAAAAAAATATGCAGAGAAGCATACACACACGTGTTTGTGTGAGAATACATACATACATATATATATATATATGTAGAGAGAGAGAGAGAGAATGAAGAAGAGAAAAGAGGAAGAGGAGGAGATGAAACCAAAGGGGAAAAATGTAAACAATTAAGGACTCTGGATTTAGGGTATACGGGAGTTTCCTGTACTATTTTAAAATTGTCTCAAAAATAAGAAGTGACAAAATATTAAACACTGTATATCCCCTTGGAAGTCCCACTGGAGTGAAAGGCAGTATCATTTTGTCTTCCTTAAAAAGGCAAGAGGAGGGTTAGGAAGTATCAGGCTCTGCATGCTTCCTGGCTTCAGCATCCCTGCCCTTCCTACAGTGGGAACCAATTTTCTCTCTTCAGCAGTCTCAGCCCCATTGCAGCCTCAAGAACAAACAATTATTCCGAACAAAAAATATTCAATTAGAACTAAATGGACACTCTGGGACTTAGCATTAACTATCTATTGTCTTCCATCAATCAGTAAGCCTGGGTCAAGTTATAATACCTCATCTGAGCTTGTCCCCCCGTCCTAGAACATGTCTAATTCCTCCTTGTCTTCTAAGTCGATCTATAAATGAAATCCCATCTTCATATATTCAGCCCTAAAAAGAAAGGAACTTGATCTTGAAGGTTCATCCTAGTGAATAAAGAATTTGTCTTCATATTTCCCCAATAATCATTATCTATTTTAACTAGCCCTACTTCTGAGACTCCTTATTCTGGTTTGGATTGACGTGATGTTTAACATTTTATTGAACTATACAGAAACAGAATTGGTCAATTTATGCTTGGAATACTATATCTTTGTTTTATCCCTGGAACTAGATTTCTCACATCATTGTACTCCACTGGTGTCTCTCTCATCTCGACTCCTGAAGGTGGCCCCATGACTTGGAATATCTCAGTAATTGCACCCAGGTAAATTTTTCCCTTCCACCACATCTGTCTCATAACCCCAACTTTCCTTTCAGAAATCCATCCAGGATAAAATGGTACATAACAAATATAAGGGGTCTACCAGGCTATTTTTTATTGAGTGAGGCTATACACGCATACATAAAGCTTAGAGGGAAATTAATAAATGTAAAGAGTAAGGTAGCATGCATGAAATGTGCACAGGGCATGGCACATACTAGGTGGTCCTGCATGTGTATTTAATGACTGTGGAATTACTGGACCCATGATCAGGAAACCATTAAGTTTCCTCCTAAATATCAAATCCTATCTGTTGATAACAGCTGCTGGCAATATTGTGCTGGGAGGGATTCTGTGCCTTAAGAGCTCAACTAAATGGATCAGTTAGCAAGATATGCCAGGATGTGGGAAACCTGGCTGCACAAGTTCTTCATTTTTGCCTTCCTTATTCCAGCTTCTAATCTTGCACAAAAAGAATAGTAGGATGTCTTTGATATAAATGTGGACTAGATGACCCCCAAGGTACCAATCCTATTGTTATATGTTTCTCTGTTTATTCATGACATATATTGAAGGGAAGAGTACAGGGCTTATAATTTATTGATGCTTAGTCTATGCCAGGCACTGTGTTAGATACATCAATAACTTGTATTATAATTTTTATAACATCCTTATAAGTAATATTATTAAACCAATGGCATATGTGATATTAATGAGGCACAGAAATGTTAAATAATTTCTCTTTAGTCTTTCAATCAATTAATGAAGAAATTTGACCCTATAACAAAAGAGACCACTTCGCTTTTTACTCAGGTGGTGTGATGGTTAATCTTGTGTGTCAACTTGGCTGGGCCATCATGCCCAGATAGTTGGTCAAATGCAATTTGGGATGTTTCTGTGGTGATATTTTGGATGAGATTTACATTTAAATAAGTGGATTTTGAGTAAAACAGATCACCCTATGAAATGTGAGTGGGCCTCATCCAATCAGTTAAAGGCCTGACTAGGACAAAAGGCTGACCTTCTCTGAGCAAGAGGGAATTCTGCCAACAGACCACCTTCAGACTTTCTGCAGCATCAACTCTTTGTGGTTCACCAGCAGACTGCCTTTGGACTTGAACTGCAACTCTTTTCTGTGTCTCCAGCCTGCCTCCCTCATCAGATTTTGGACTCATCAAGCCTCCACAATCACATGAACCAATTGCTTAAAATAAATCTCTTTCTGTATTTATATATACACATCCTATTGGGTCTGTTTCTCTGGAGAAGCCTCACTAATACAGGTGGGTATTTTCTGGTTATTGTATCGTTAAATGACTCTAGCTCTGCACTCATTTCAGACACTATATGTACTCACACATCATTAAATTTGAGATCATATGAGAAAAAAGAAGAAAAACAAACAAGAAACAAACTTGTTCTGGCTATCTATTGCTGTGTGACAACTTATTAGTGGCTTAAAACAACAGCCATCATTACGTTATCTTTCACGCTGTCTTGGATTCTGTGGATCAGGAAATGAGAAAGAACTTGGGCAGTTCTGGTGTGGGTTCTCATGAAGTTACAGTCAAACTGTGGCTGGAGCTGGAACATCAGGTGACTGGAACAGCTGGGACTCTCTGGGGATGTGTGTGAGTATGTGTATGTGTGTGAGCACATGTGTGCATGCATGCGTGTGTATGTGTGTGTATCTGTGTGTGTGTGGTCTCAAGGTCTCTATATGTAGGCTCTCCATTTGGGCTACTTTCAGCTTCCTCACAGCTTGGCAGCCCCCTAGCTGTCATGGTGTTTACATGGCATCTAAAGATTTCAAGTGTGAGTATTCCAGTGATTAAAGCTGGATCCATATCAAATATTATGATCTGGATTCAGAAGTCACATAATATTATTTCCTGTTGAACTCAAATGGTTGAAACAATCACAAAAGTACACCCAGTTGTTAGCAGAGGAAACATAGATCCCTATCTCAATAAGAGGAGTGTCAAGAATGTTTGCAGGCATATTTTAAAACTTCCATACTGTTCCCTCATCCCTTCCTTCACTCATTTCTTAAGAAATGTAGCCAAGGTCTGTCTCTAAAGCTAGTAAGAAAATCACAACCCCTAACCCGATCAGTACCGGTTGTGCAATGGTACATACTAGTTACAGAATGTACTAGTCAAGAAGCTGTTGTGTTCTTAGCACCTTGTAGGTTATGTTAATGTAATAAATGGGAAACAGTATAAAACTGGTTCCTTGACTCAAAAGCTTGACATTTAATTGTAAAGTATATAGTCTCCCTTTTCTTTCTGAAACTTCGTCTATTTTTTGAAAGTTTTAATAGCTATGGGTGGCGTAGTGGTTATTTGGTTACTATGTTCATGATTCTGCACTAAATCTGTTCTCGCCAAAGAGAATTCCAAAAATTTTCTATGTCTGTAGTCTTATTAATTTTTCTTCAGTGTAAAAGAATGAGGTTATATTAACTTCAAGATATCAAGCAATTACTTGGCTTCCCACTCAATGACACATTCCAGAAGGTAACTTTAACAACTTGAAACTTCTACTCCACAGCTGAATGACAAAACAAATTCTGAGGATTTTTTTTTTTTTGCGGTAATTTCAACCTGAATAAACTATATTTTTGGTGATATGAAAAAGTTAGTCATGCAAAGACTGAAAATTTATCAGTGACTTTGCCCCCTGTGAATAAAAGAAGTAGTCTGCTGGTTAGCTGTTGGAAATCAATGTGTTAGTATATTTGCCTTCTTCTGTTTTCCATAAATCAGAGATCAGCAGATGCTTGAGGCATCAATGCCATTCCTGTGTTAAAGAGTGCCTATAAGGCTTTAAGGAATAGATTAGAGGGAAAAAAGCACTGAAAAAACTAAAAATCAAAAATAGATAGATAAATGAATGAATACATAAGTGGAGTTAAATTAAGAGAAGGCAGAACAGAAAGGGGAAAGAATCAGAAAAATAAAAGGAAGGATGTAGGAAATGAGCGAAGGAAGGCAGGGGAGACGTAAAAAGAAGAGAAAAAAACAAAATGGATGAGTGGATGGAGGGGCATAAGATAGAGTGTTACCAAAGACTCTATTCTTTCCATTTAAGTCTTGTGTTCTTTAAGAGTTATAAGAAAGAAATGGTAATATTGCAGGCATGTGTACTAGGTCATAACGTGATGCTATTGTCTAGGTTTTGTTTAGAATTATGTGGGTTTTTTTTTTCAGACGTGATGATTGGATTTATTCCAAATGAACACAAATCTTGTTAAATATTATCTAGAATACCACTAGATCAATGGGAGTTGCCAATCACATCCAAATAAGTATATATAAACTCTAGAAGGTAAAACTCCTCCAAAGGAATGGACTGTAGCTAAACAAGGCACTTCTAGGAAATGCAGCTGAACTACTTGAAGGGATAATTCATCTATCATAAAATATGAACATAGTTTACAAAGATGTCTCAGTGAAGAATTTTCTCTTCTCTGAAGTGAGCATAGAATGCATTTGTGTTTTAGACAGAGGAGTCTTAAGATAGAAGGATAGGAAGGATCCCAAGAAGACATTTATCTCCAAGGTCTAATCAAAATATTCCTTGTTATAGCTCTTTATATGGCTCATATTCCTTTATACAGCTTGAAAGTGAGGAAGTCCTGGGGGCTACAGTCTCAGAGGTGCCCCTATACTTTTGTGGGTTTGATTGCCAAGTATCCCACTAAGTTCTCATTGTAAAGAGTCAAGAAAGACCCCCTTATGTCTCTGGCAGGGGTAAGGGAAAAGAAATATCACGAAACACTCTCAGTATATTCTCCAAAACAAAGGGAAAAAGAGCTTACCAGCCTTATCTCGTCTGGGGAAAGGCATTTCTCCCACTATAGACCCCTCTAGCCTTTCTATATCACCAAAGCGGGGAAAAAGTTATATCAATAGAAAAACACCTGTGGAAGTGACAGTCCCTTGACACAGACCCAGTAATCATAAGATTATAGAACAATTCTCCTCCCTACATCTTACTACCACACCAATAGGGTTCTAGTATAATAACAGTGGATTAGAAATGAACAAGCTTCAAGACATAGATTCTATTTAAGAAGGAGCTCTTAAGGAAACCTGAAAACAACAAGGGAGGAAACACGAGAAAAATAAGCAACGGCACTAGAAGAAACTGAAGTCTCTGGCACCTACAGTTACAGCAAACCTTACACACAACCTAACTCCTACCCAAATTAACATATATCCACTCACTGAAGACCTATTCTTATACCCTTTACAGCATGTCCAGCTTTCAACAAAAAAATCACAAGGCATAACAAGCTCCATCCCCAAAAAAGAATCTTAAGAGTCAAAGCAAGTATCTCAAATATGACAGAGATGCTGAAATTATCAGACAGGGAACATAAAGTAGCTATAGTTAATATGTTAACAGCGCTAATGATAAAAGTAGATCACATGCAAAACTGATGGGTAATATAAGCAGAGAGATGGAAATTGAAAGAATCAAAGTGAAATGGTAGAAATCAAAAACACTAACACAAATGAAGAATGCCTTTGATGGACTCATCAGGAGACTGGGTATGGTTGAGAAAAAGATCAGTGAGCTTGAAGTTAGGTAAATTGAAACTTTATGGACTGAAATGGGAAGAAAAAAAGAGTGAAAAGCATCCATGAACCATAGGACGATTTCAAAATGTGTTAACATTTGCATAATTGGAATACTATAAAGCAGAAAAAGTATTTGAAGCAATAATGGCAAAGAATTTTCTAAAACTAATAACACACATCAAAGCAAATCTCAGAGAATAGCAAGCAGGAAAAATACTAACACCATAAAAACAAACAAAACAAAAACGAAAAACCCAAACACACATACACCTAGGTGTATCATATTCCACCTGCAGAAAACCAAAGGCAAAGAGAAAATAATGAAAGAAGTCAGAGGGCAGGGAAAAACACTTTACCTACAGACAACCAAGGGTAGGAATTATAGCTGACTTCCTGTCAGAATCCATACAAATAAGAAAAAAATGGAGTGACGTGTAAAATGATGAAAGGAAGAAACAACAATCTTGAATTTTACATTCAGGGAAATTACGCTTTAAAAGTGAAGGAAAAATAAAGACATTCTTTGACAAATAAAAACTGAAGGAATTCATCAGACCTGCTACCAGCAGATCTGTCCTATCAGGAAGGTTAAAAGAAGTTCTTCAGGAAAAGTTATAGAGGTCAGAAACTTGTAGCTACAAAAAGGAAAGAAGGTCATCAGTAAAGGAATAGATGAAGGTAAAATAAAAAATTTTTGTTCTTCTTAATTGTTCTATAAGATAGCTGTTTAACCTAATAATAATAACAATGTATTGGGTGACATCATATGGATAAATAAAGTGAATGACAGCAATTTCACAAGATACAGGAGAGAGGAACTGGAAATACTCTGTTATAAGGTACCTGCATTACACTTGAAGTGGTATAGTGTTATTTGAAGGCGAACTTGAATTAGTTGAAAATGTATATTTGAAACTCTTAAACAATCAGTAAAAAATATTTAAAAATAAATAAAATTGATATGCTAAAAGAGAAGATAAAATAGAACTATATAAAATTTTCAATTAATACCAGGGAAGACAGAAGAATAAAGGAAAATATTCCCTTGTATATCAGCTGGACTTTGTTGCCATGCCACCTACTTTTATAAATAAAGTTTATTTTCAACGCAGTTACACTCACTCATTAGCATATTGCTCATTTTGCCTTCTTGTTACAATAAAGTGTTGAGTAGTTGCAACAGAGACCATATGGCCTGCAAAGGCTAAAAGTTATCAGGACTTATCCAAATAAGATGGTAGACCTTGGATAATAGCCATGTTCAAACTTAGTCAGTTGCTCCAATAATATTCTTCATAGCTATTTATTTCAGGATTCAATGCAGAATCTTTCACTAATTTAGTTGTCATTTTTCTTTAGTCTTCTCTAGTGTTTTTCTTAATCTTCACAAAGCCTAAGAGTATAGACCAGGCATTTCGTAGAATTACCTTCAATTTGGGTTTTGATTCATTTCTGCATTTTAGGAGGAATATCAGAAGTGATATGTCCTTCTCGGTGTATCACATCACATGATTTTGGTTTTTCCCAATATTGGAGATATTAACTATTGTCCACCATGAATTTTCTACTTTTCTTTTGCATGTAATAGGTAATTTGTGAGGAGATATCATGATATTAGGTAATATCTTCTAACTCATCAAAAATGTATCCACTATTTTTAGCATCCAGTAATCATTTTCTTGCTCTATCATTTCTTCTATTGTTTTTTATTTGATATTCTACTGTAAGGAAGAGCTCTGCTCTCTCTGTATTAATAGATTGATATAACTATAGCCTCAAGGATTTTTATTTTATTCAATGAGCTCTCGTGTATATGTTAGTGTCTGTAAGCAGACATATAAGTATATTTGGCTAATTCTCTCTCTCTGTATATATACATATTTCTATATGTATATGCATATATATGTGTACACATATGTTTATAAAATATGAATTCACTCTGAGATTTCCAATTCCAATACAATACCGCAGGATATATTTAGTCTTACCCATTTTATGTCGAGAACTTCCTTAATCAATAGTAAGAAATTTGTGTCCTGCTATCTTTAATACCTTTACTCACTTCTCAAGCCAAAAATAAATAAAAAGTAGTTTCTGAATTTCTGATCTGCATCACTGTAAAAAGAAAACATACTAACCAGAGTTCAAAAATTGCTTATAGCCTCTTTTCTATAGAAGTAAAATTTACGTATAATAATACACACAAATCTTAAGTATACAATTAAATGGGTTTTGACAAATGTGCACTCCAGTGTAACCTACACCATGGTCAAGATATAGAACCTTTCCACCCCCAAGGAAGTTCCATTATGCTCCTTTGCAGCCAACAAATCCCCTGAAGCAAATGCTTTTCTGATCTTTTTTCATCAGTTTTGCCTGTTTTAGAACTTCATACAGTATATATTTTTCTGTGTCTGTTTTTTTGTTGCTAATCATAATGTTCAAGATTCATGCCTATTGTAGCAAGTGTCAGTAATTTGTTCCTTTTTATTGCTCAGTATTATTCTATCATATGTGTATTCTACACTTGATCTGTTCTCCTTGGAATAACAACTAATTGTGTGGTTGTCCTGAGAAGCCCTTTCTATGTCCAGAATCAAAGAGAAGAACCTCTCCATCCAGTTTCCACCACAACTGGTCTTGGTTTTTCTTGTAGCATCCAAGAATATATGAGGAAGAGGCAAGGAAAGCAGATGTATAGCCTACTCCATAGTTCATTCTCATTTGACAGCGCCTGTCACTTGGCTTGCCCTCTATTCTAGTCCAAAATCCAATATCAGTTCAGGAACAAAATTGTTACCACACACACAAAAAATGGATGTTTCCAGAAAAAGCAATTTACTGTTCAGAAAAACCACAGGAACTCAGTTTGCTCAGTACAGGCTTAAATCTTTGAGAATTCTCTTCTGGGCATGCCCTGTCAACATTGCTGTTTTCTAACTTTTATCACACTTTCATGAGAGAATAAATGATGTCCCTTGCAAGAGGGTTTAGCACTGTGTTAAAGGTAAACAAGTTAAAAGTATTTACTTTTTTAAAGCACAGTTTGTCTGGAATTTTAGTGTGCTAATACAGATTATGAATCTCCATGGAGGAGTGTGGCAGAATTCTGTCCAAGCTTATTTTAATGTATAAATGACTTTTCTCCTAATTGGAAGAAGGGCAGATGTTTTCACAGGCAAGTGTTCTACAGAATCCCCTTGTACAAAGTCTGCCTTAATCCAGTCATGTGATAGTGTTTAATTATTCCCATTCTTTCAGGAATAAGATTACTTTCTGAGTGTCCTGATAAATCCTCCCGGCCCCTATTTTTTTCAGTCTTCTGAGACCCTCACACTTCATTCAATCAACCAATGTCAGCATTCTAAGCTCTGCTTATAGAAAACCATTTGCTCGTCTATGTCATAGCCATAGATAATTGTCCCTTTATTTAGCTGAACCTTTCTTTATTGAGCTTTTATTATTCTCCTCCCTCCACCCAGGTTTTCATCCATATCTTAATAGCTTGTTTTTTCTTTTCTCTCTCAAAGGTTTATTGACTGAGTGTCCTTTCCGGCTCACCACACTGTAATCCAGATGTCCAATGAAGTCACTTCACTTTTAGAGATTTAAATAAAATTAGGTTGTGATATCATCTCAGGAAATTTTGAAAATCTCATTCTCTTCCCTAATATTTCTTTGAATATCTAGTGAATCTGAATTTCCTGTTTCTGCTAAGCTCCAGATCTCACTTCTGCCTCATTTCCTAAAATTCTTCTCTCTGTTCTGAAAGACAGAAATATGTGATAGATGCTTTTCCTTGATTTCACCAATCTGCTGTTTAAGTGTTCAAATTTGAGTTCTATCATTTTCCAATTTAATGATTTTCCTAGACTTTATGCTTTTAAGTTCACCACATATCTTCTAGATTTTCTAGAACTTGATAATATTTTTAAAACATAAAATACAACAATTTAGATTAATGGCAAGTTGTCTCCTAAAATTCAAACACACTGGAACAAGAGTCCATGGTTTCTCATCCGTTATTGCTATGGTGGTATGATAATTGCTTCTTCTAAACTTATAATATCTAGAATTTATTTCAATTTGATTAATGAAATGTAGAGTAAATCTATTTAATCTATGTTATTATTGTCAATAAATATTATATAACAATAAATAAATAATATCAACAATTATTAAAATTTGAATGATAAACATCATTAAAAGAATGATTTCTGGTTGGTAATATTAACAAGAAGAAAAGTAACAAACCAATTGGTAGTATTTTTTTCTTTTCCAGCACCTATTTGCTTCATGCATTTTCTTTGTGGTCTTAAATTGAAGCATGAAACAATCATTTGATAGAGCACCATGGTTAAATTATGATTCAGAAAAGCTCTTACTCACACAGCAGTTTTTATGAGTATCTTAATTGTAGAGCTAATGCAAGCTATAGATTTATGCTGATTAAATCCAGATGGC